GTTGAACGCCAGAATACAAGTAACAGACTGTTACGAAGTATAGTTCGAAAACAACGCAGGCGGATAGGCCATACCGCCAAGTTTCAATTTAATATTAATAGCCAAACATTACAAAGGGCTTACACATATTGCAATAAAGGGCCAAGAATACTCCCCTCAGCTAATAAAAATCTGTCAAACGAGTCCGACAGTTTACATTCATCTGACGAATTGACATTTGTTGATACTGAGTATAGCTACATACCAGTATCCAATGCCACATCCAAGGGATATGTTTATACATTTGGGCACACCTGTGTACACATCATATCTCAGATGTGCGTCAGCAGCCTGTAACCCACACTGATCACGGAACCAATTAGCAGATACGTACACGTCACGTGTATACTAATGGATTTACACCCACTCAGTTTGCAGCCACCCACGCGCGCATTCACATACCACCGAGAACATCCAAGGCTGACCACATAATAGTCCATATATATATATATACATTCATACATACATATACATATATATATATATATATACGTACTCGCTACGTCACCTGCCCAATTGTTGGACAACTTTTGCTGAACATGCTTGATTGTGCAGACACATGAACAGGGGACACCGAGAGATACTCACGGAAGCTGTGGCTTAAGTCTGAATTGCTTCTCAGAATTTCCCTTAACTCTGTAGCACATCTGTAGCACACGTCCGAAACTAATCGAATACTACAATGTACACTACTGGCAAACTGTAATACCAAACACACCTTATTAAGATATGCAAAACTCTTCAAATTAGTCACGATCGATGCATCCTTAGCCGTCAATACAAACCTAATCGACAACAGGATCTGTACCGACCAGGCGAAACTCAGTCCGAACTCGACAAACACCTCAAGCAATAGCATTCTGATATAGTGAAGGAGAAACATCCGTGTAAATTTGCCACATGGAGAAGTACATTGGCACGTATAAAGACGTGATAGCCACATAGATATCTCGCAAATGCACAAAATGGAAAGAAAAAAGAATGCCCTGCGGAAGTGTTAGCTACATAAATGGTGAAAGAAATACCTCAAGCACAGTTCCTAAAGTCAAATAATCTGAGACGGTTCGTATAAATTGGAAAAATATCGTATAAGTCTATCGCTGTATATACATAGCGGCATACGATAAAATATGGGTCCGTTGAGTGTACAATACCAGCCTCCCGAATAGAGTCTAAAGCTCGAAATCCAATGGACTCTATAGCTACCGCTGTCGCTCTCAATTAAAATTATAGTAAATCAACCCATGAGGCAGTATATTTTCAGCGGGCTATTAATATGTTAAACACATTTGAAATATAAATCACACTATCTAATATATATATATATATATATATATATATAGTTGTATTTGAGGTACATACATATATCATATCATAAACCTAGTTAATCCGCCTGATCGGACCTAAGTATCCCTATAAGAGAAGACCATGAGACATTATACCTTCAGGGATATTTCCACACGATAACCCCGTTGGCAGCATAATTCTCAGTACGAATCCAAATCAACACGTGCAATATATATATATAATGATATATATATCAATATATATATATATATACATATACATACA